AATTTAATAACAATTCGATGACTTTTCTGGCTGGTGACTTGAATGCGCATCACAAAAATTGGGGTGATAGTGGCACAAATATTGCAGGCAGGGTGATCACTCAATTTACCATTGACCACTTACTGCAACTACAGGTTCCTAATGAACCAACACACTATATATCTAATAACCTTGACTTAACTGTGCTTACTGAAGTCTTAGCCGAGCTAGATTCGGACCATAAGCCAGTACTATTCATTTTAGAAAACTGTCTCATAAACATTACGACTTCCGCGTTCAATACCAAGGACTGGGACGCCTTCAAGAATCTGGTAGATGTTGGAGGTGTGTTGAACCGACCTGAAACCTTAGTGGACCTGGAGGAGTGTATCCGCAACCTTATTTATCAAATTCAAGACTACTTGCACAACAGCTCTACTATCAAAAATAGAAAACCCAGCAACTTCTTTAACATTCCTCAGCATATTAAACACATGATCAGGCACCGAAACAGAATCCGTAAATTTGCCGAGATTATTGGAGATCCTGGAAGTAAAGGAGAAGCCAGCCGCCTGTCAAAGGAAATTAGAAGAAAGATTGGTATCTTCAGAAATAAAAACTTGGGTGAATTCCTGTTGGGACTAGAAACCTGTAATAAATCCTTCTTTGCCATAAACAAATGCTTCAGGTTGAAACGCAAATGGGCAATGCCGTTCATTCATTGGGCGACCGGCATGGCATACACAGATTCAGAAAAGGCCGAGGTCTTTGTTGATTCTCTGGAGCTTCAATTCCAGTTTAACGAAGACTGTGATGATGACTCTGAAGAGGAAGAACATATCACCGAGGCTTACAATATCCTGAACCAAGAGCCTGATGAAGACATCGCGCCCTGCTCTAGTGATGAAATCGGCATAATCATCTCAAAATTGAAGATAAGATATGCACCAGGGTACGACAAAATTAACAATAGATGCTTATGTGACCTATCGGAAGATGCGATCCATCTCATCGCAAATATAATTAACTGTATGTTGAGGCTAGGCGAAAATCCTAAGATTTGGAAACAGGCCACAGTTGTAGTCTTCCCTAAACCCGGTAAGAACCCGAAGTTTCCGCAGAACTCGCGGCCCATAAGCTTACTGTCAGCTCTAGGTAAGTTGGCCGAAAAAGTGATTCTAGACAGACTCAAAACTTCGGTGGACTCGCTGAATATTCTCCCTGACGAGCAATTTGGTTTTAGGGAAGACCTCTCCACAGAATTGCAACTAGTGCTAATGGCTCAGATGATATAATCGGCCCTAAGCAGAAGAGAGTCAACGGTTATAATTATATTTGACATCGCCAAGGCATTTGACAAGGTCTGGCATGGCGGTCTGATAGCTAAAATATCTCATTTTAGTACCCCAGTCGGTCTTATCAAAATCCTCGGCAGCTTCCTGCGCGAGAGGTTATTCTGCTTAAGAATCAACAGTACCATCTCGTCAGTGCGCAGAATAGAAGTCGGTGTTCCACAAGGATCTCCATTCTCCCCCATGTTGTATAACATCTTCACGTCAGACATCCCAATGCTAAGTCCCTCGGTGCTATCCTTATACGCAGATGACACTTGCTTGTTATATTCCGATAAACTTGCCAGAAATGTGACCAACACGCTGCAGGAGCATGTTCATCTCATTCTGGAGTTCTTCCAAAAATGGAAAATAAAAATAAACAATGAGAAAACTGAAGCCCTATTTATTACTCGTAAACACAAGCAACATCCACCGAGAGTGAGAGTCGGTGACATCGCGATTAATTCGGAGGACAGCATTAAATACTTAGGAATTACATTTGATAAGCGGTTCACTTGATACAAGCACTAACAAGTCAAAAGAAGTAGTTGCGCAAAAACAACAGAAAGCTGATGCACAGCCAGATAATTAGACCAACACTACTTTATGGGTGTGTCGCGTATAGTAAAGCTGCCGACTCTACTATCCAAAAGCTACAAGTTCCTCAAAGTCAGGCTCTCCGAAGGCTCTTCAAAGTGTCATGGTACATCCGCACGAATGACGTGCTAATAGACCTTAGAATAGATCTGGTCAAATAATACATAAGGCACTGAGCTCTGAAGCTATATGCGAAAACCGACAGGCTAACCGCACGGAGCGTTACGCAGATCTTAGATCAATCATTGAATAATCACGAAGATTATCAGGAATACTTAAATTAGTCAGTGAGATGGGCGGGACTCTGCAGAATCCCATCAGCTATCATAGAGTAAAAGAGCCCAGATGCACTAACTCAGAAAAAGCTTAACATAACATAACTCGTTATCGCATTTCCTGTCAAAAAAAAAGACATTAGTTAAATAAAGTAGAGACACGGGATATTATTTTCTGGTTCGGATGACACGCCGACGTGGAGGTTAATTATTTAGAGTTCACGATGTTCTTCAATCACCTAATCCCGGAGTTACTTTTTTTTCAGCCTCTTCGGTAGAAAATTTGAATTAAATAAAAAAGCAGATGCCAAGTCTTCTTCGCCTTCAAAACAACTTAATTCTTTCTACAAAATTAATTGATTACATAAGACAGCAACAATTTAGCTCTAGTATCAACAATTCCAAAACTTTAGAAACTTCAACTGTTAAATCAATACGAATTTCGAAAGCAAGAATATTTGCAAGATGTTCTTTCTTTCAAGATCTTAATATAATGGAAACTGAAAAAAACCAACTAACTTCAGTGTTGAAAGCAGATCAAGTTTTCCTAAGTGAAACGAAGAAATAGTCATAGAAGTGCTATTGAATGCCTAACAAAGATAAAAACTTAGTATCATATTTACCTTCTTCTAGTAGAAGGAGCCAATATAAAAATTCGCGTTCTGAAAGGTTTGAATCCGAAAAAAATTAAACAATACCTAGAACCAATGTCTTATTATTCTTTCGTATGTCATTCCATTAAAATTAAATTATTTGGAATAATACATATTCCCAAATTCCATCTAGGTGCGGCTGCCGACAGAAAACACAATTCAAATTAAGACGCAAAAACTACATGAAGGAATGATTCAATATCATGATTGCCATGCAGCCATAACCATTTCACTAAATGCAAAAAAAAAACGATTAATCTGAAACCTAAAAGCATTAATTGCAAAGGAGCAGATGCAGCTAATCAAAAAGAATGCAGGTTTCATTTCAAAATTGCAGTGAAAATGAAGTTCAAAATCAAATAAGGGAATGCACTTCAGTTTCAAAATATTTTGTAATAATATAATATGAATTTGTATGTATTGAAAGTTTTTATGTAGTCAATGTTGCAAACGATGAATTCGGCTAATTATCAAAATGATGAAGTATAAAGACTAGGTCCCTATATAGTTCCTAAAAAAACCAATTTTGCATTGATATTAATATTTAATTGCATTTGCAATTTAACGGATGCTTAAAGAATGAATCTCGTCGTCGTTTACAAAGACTAAAACCAAATGCAAAATATATAAAAATCGTACTAATACTTCTAAGCGTAACGAAAATTAGAGATACATTTGGAAAGAATTGAAAGCAATAGTAAACGAAAAAGCGTGGAACATATGTACAGTGGCTCTCAGCTTATTTTATCCAAGACCAATTTTAAAATTCTTTACGCTATTACTAAAAAACTATGTCATCGATTGAAAATATTTAAATCCCATTTAAAGGAAAAATATTTGTTATTTAATTTAGAAACTTGAAAAATGCCGAAAATATTGTTTTAATAAATAATGAACATAAATTATAAAAATACTCCTATTTTAATGCCTCAGCTTATTTCATCTACAAAAAGAAGTTTCATTTGGGCCCAAAGTCAATACTTGGTATAATACCCTTTGGCTTTTATCATTACACAAAGTCTCTTCGCCATTGAACCTACAAGTTTTTGGGTTGTTTCTGGAGCAAGAGTGGATGACTTGTAAAATAGCCTTTTTTAATTCTTCTTTGTTGGAAATAGTATATTGCTGAATGTTTTGTTCCAATATAAATTTTCAATGACATTCGTATTTGGGCTCTACGCCGGCGGTGTCATTAGATGTGAGCTAGAAATCTAAGCTAGATCTGAGCTAGAAATATTGAATTTAGACTCGTCTGAAAATGACACGTTGTTCCAGAAGATTAATTTTTTGTGGGCATGCTATCTAGCATAAGCAAGCCGACTGCTCTGATTTTTCTTGCTTATGAAGAGTTTTTCTTAGCTACTCGACCATTAAAGTGGGAGTGTCGAATAATGCGGCGGACAGTATCCGCACTGCACGTCTTGCCTAGTTCTATCCGTACCTTTCTGAGTATATCAGGAGCATTTAATTTTGGATTCCTCTTGATTTTTCTAACAATATATCGCTCTTCAGCTGAGTTGAGAATTTTATTCTTACAAATAAAGCGGTTAAGGATGCTCTGCACAGTGGAGCGACTCAAATTAAAGAATTCCGCAAATTTCCGCTGAGGTTGACCGTCCTTAAAATGGATTAGCACCATTCCTCTATAGTGTGTCGTCCCATTTTTTAAAAAATTACTTATTTATCGTTTCACATCCACAATCACACAAAAAATTTATTACATTTGGTTGCAAATACTTTAAAAATATTACGGAAAAAAAATTAGCTGTGAGATATAATTCTATTACGCGATCGGGTTTTTTACCTTTGAGCGAAACAAAAACAAATTTTATGAACTTTGTTTGACATATATGACGTAAAAATATCACGCAAGACAAAAACAAAAATCCTTGTGCTACGCAATAATTTTCTCCACCTGGTTTTGCTATTTTGTGAACCGCATCATCACAATGTTTGCTAAAATGAAAGCACTAATTTCGTTTTTGTTTTGGTTTTTTGAAATTATGAGAATTTTGTGGTAGTAAACTTTTTGGTTGTAAACGGAGGCAGAATTATTCAAAATTTCTTATCAGTTTCGCTTATGCATATTATATGGAAAACCATCATACTAAATCAGCAACCAAGTATGATGTGTAATATTCACACTACTACAGCCATATTTCTCTGTGTGTGGCTGGGTTTAATGTTGATTTGACAACCTGCTGATATATCCTTTAAAATTGCATTAAATATTTAGATTTAGTTATTAATGCAATTTATGGACGAAAATGATTGATTATGTTTGTTAAAAGGCTTACTGATTTAAATGTGGATTGTCTCCTCAATATATTTCGCTATTGTAGTGAGACGGATCTGATAAATTTGTGTAAAGTTTCAAACGTTTTGCTTCAAATAATAGAGGAAAATGTATTTTATGTGCAATCACTTGATTTATTAATGTGTGGACATCGCAATCAACCAAATATACAACAAAGGTACTTTAGTAATAATTTTAGATTTGAATTTACATTGATTTTGTATTTTAGAACGGAGCTGCCATTGTCTTATTTTGGACGTATAACCATTTCTAAGAACTGGGTTGAGGGCCGATACAGGGAACGGGAATATTTTCATCATTCGCGAATGTTTGCTAAAAAACTTCATTTAGAACGTAATTGGCTTTACATATCACATTCTTCTATGATACGAAAACATCGGCGGAAACCTTTAGAAAAGCGATACCATCAAGAAATCGGTTCAAATGCAAAGTCCGATATTGCAGACTTTGTGAAAAAGCAAGATACTATATTTGCCGGTCGTATCTGTGGAAGTTGTTTTATTTGTGAAAATGATTCTGTAACTGAACAACGTATGCATACATCATGTGAATATTTGTACAGTGTGGATTTTGTAAATGACTTGTATGTAACAAGCACAGATCAATTTGGAAAATTATGGAGGAAGAATAACGAATTTAGCTTAATACATTTTGACTTGTTGCATATAATAAATAATTCCTATAAAGTTATTAAATTGAGCCACGATGGTTCCGCCCTTTTTGGAGGTTTATATACTGACATTAATCGGAAAGCGTTAAGAGAAATTGACGTAGAAACGTATGTTGACTTTTCATATATATACTTTTTATTTATAAACTAAAATTAATTTTTCTTTCAACTAGCGGGAAACAAACTACTCTTAATTCCAATACAATATCTATATATGATCTCAAATTGAAGGATGACAATATTTTATTTACTGCTAATTTTGACACAACATTTCGTATGTTTGATCGCCGCACGAACCGTGATGAAGCAATTTGGGAAGATCCATTTGACTCTTCATTTTATTGTCTAGAGTATGATGGCTTATATTCAGTACTTTGTGGTGCAAAATATCATAGTCGGGTTAATCTTTATGATATACGTGTACCTGGGAAGTATATTCAATTGTATTTTCCTCAGCGGTATTCTCGCCAACGTGCCTGCAGCTCTCCAGTATATAGTATTGCATGTGATAGTCGTTATTTGTTTATTGCAACCGATCATAGCTTACGAGTGTTTGATTTCAAAACGGAAGGCATAGGTAATACGGCCCAAGATTATCGTAATATTTTTAGTGAAATTCAAAGATGTAATTAATTTGTAGTTGCACTGATGCAAATAATACATCTATGGCCTGTAACTATCAAGTTAAATGCCTTCTTTTAGATTTTATTTCATTGTTATTGGATTTAAATTAAATTTGAACTAAATTTTGTTGCGTTTTAGCAAGATGTTTTTGAAGAAAATACATATAAAACAAAGTATTCGTGTAAAAAGTAATGTAGTCATTTTTTAACAATATTAAAAATTAAACTGAATACCAATGTAGCCTGTTAAAATGATTTATGGACATTTTATATATGCATTGGTGCAAAAAATAGCATGTATAAAAAAACTAAACAAAACAAAACTGTATGGAAAACTCTTTCCAGATAAGATCTTCACTGCTTTTTTTGTATGCTAAGTGTATGGCTGTTTCGGTTTGCTTGGCATTTTTTGCATAATAATTTCTAGTACATAATTCTTAATATATTTAGTTTATTTTACTGCTTCATATTACATATTACATGAAGCAACTCTGATTTATAAATATTTTGAATACAATATTTAATAAATGAAATTCATTAATTAGTATTTGTAAGTTGTGATTAATCTTTATATGTATTAAATATCTTAGCAATAAGAAATATAAATTTTAACGAAACTAATATCTTAGTATACAAAATTATTTTTATATGCTGTGAAATATTGAGTACAATAATTTATTAGAATTGTTTAATTTAAACCATAAAAAATTTTGCGAAAAGCGAGCAACTCTTATGTGTATACGTCGAAGCAAAAAAACTTTACAGACAATAAATTCGTTAAAAATATGTTGTGAAATTTTTTAAATTACATTTATATATTTATATGGAATTGCGTTAAAAATATTGATTAAATTAAACCTTTAGAAAATGGAATTTAGACCAATTTTAGATCCATATATGACAATATGCTATATATTGTTGTTGTTGTGACCTGCTGGTACCTGTAAGCAGATTACATGAAAGGATATACAAGACGATTGCATAGGTGGAATGAAAAAAAGGGGTGGATGCAAATTGAATATTAACCCATATTCAGACGGAGAAACCTCACTACTTCAATGAGGAGGGTCCAATGATCAGTTGGACGGAGGTTTGTGTGCGTTGTGGGACAGGAAAACAGATGGGCAACGTCATTGGGAGTAGAATGCAATTTTGTACACACTAGAAGTAGTCGTGTTTATGCCTGACAAGTAACTGTTTAATACTTGGCTATATCCTAATCTAAATTGAGCTAGAACAGTTTTTTCTGCACGGAGGAGACGACGTTTTTTCTTTTTTTTTTGTTGTGTGTCAACCTAGGTCCTGAAGAGGATATTGCATCTGTGTGAGGTGCTATGTTGGCTGTATTTCAAAAGGTGTTGACATATGTGTGGTAAGAAGAAAAGGATCGACGAATGCATCTAGTAGAGAAGACTCTACTAGCCATGGCGCTAGGTTTGGTGGTGGTGGGCATTCTGAACTCCCAGATATTTATGGTAGAGGTCGAGGATTTATTTGGAGATAGGTGAAGATTTCTATCATCTAAAAACGATGTATAGTGAACGTATGTATTCAGTTTATTCCACAATAGAGAGGGGTTCTAGTCCGTCGTTAGAATTGTGCAGTCATCTGCATACGTCAGACTCTTCCTCAGTGGGGGTTTGGGAGTTTAGAAATGTATAAATTGAATAGGATCGCTGAAAGAACGCTGTCCTTGGAACACTGCTTCAACTTCCTGGCTTTTAAAATTTTATCTCTAAAGTTAACAAAGGATGATCTGCCTATGAGTTAGTGACTGAGCCATCCTTTTGTTGAGACAGGGATTGATGTTTCATTAACAAGGTCATTTAACGAAGTGCTGTAGGAGACTGCGTCAAATGCCTTTACGAGGTCAAAGCCTATTAGCACCGTGCGCTCGCACGGTCTACTTTGACAAGAACGAAAGATTAAAATTTTTGCTTGTATTCAAAGCACGTCATATTTTATCTTAACGCTTCTGCACTTGCTGTGGTATGAGAAAGAATGGCACCGAAGTATAGCAAAATAAAATTTTATATGCATGCTACAGGTATTACTCGCGCATCTGCTACTATTGCTCCTAAACTGGTGCTGGAAGGATTTGCTACTATTTGAAACTAAAGTGTTTATATCTTTCTAAAAAGTTTTAAAACTGCGACAGAAATTTACCCTTATTTGCTCAGTTGTTTCTTTTCAAATTTTTTGACTATTACAATATATTTTATGTTCTTTACGTACAAGCATGCAGTATTGATTTGCTATTATTCTTTTTCATAACCACGGGAGCAAAAAAATTGTTAAAAAACTTATGCCAACTCACAGTCGTCTATACTCCTCTCTTTTTTTTTAACATAACTAGAAGTTCTGGCTCATGCAAGTTTCGCTCGCCAACCTACATGATATTCATATGTTTTGTCTTACTTTGTATAAAGACAAAGCGCAATATCACAGTTTTGTTTAGGAATTTATCCTACACACAAAGTAACGCTTCCTGCAGGCCGATTCCACTAATCGCTATCGCTAAAATTCCAATCTCTTCGCTAAAATTCTTAAATACACAGAAGCTACACGGAAGCGTTTTATTTGAAATATTTCGTCTTTCGAAATATTAATGTAAACTTATTATGGCGCAGAAAACACGGACGATGAAATAAATGAGATAATGACTTTGAAGCACAAGAACCCGTCACTTAAGCGTTTATAGCAAGAGACGAAATAATCAATAATTATTTTCAATATTAATTGAATTTTATTTAAATAAGTTTTATTATTATTAAAATATGTATTTATTTATATTGTTATTATTTTAGTTTTATATTATTAATAATAAATTGTTATTATGTCCAATGTTGAACACTTGCACCGCTACTGCAATAATTCGTTCATCCAGATCGGTTAAATCCCATTTTATTTCCGATCAGCCCCATTGCATGTTTATACTCTTGGACTTTTCTCTTGCTCTTGGATCTAAAATTAAACAATGGAGTTTTTTTATTCACAGTTTTTCAATATAGTTTCTTCTTTCAAACATTGGCATCTTTAACTGCTCCACCAATGGCATTTAAAATAATAGCTAGAGAGCCCCACTGTTTGTGAAGACTTCGTGCACCATGATTCGACACAAATCTGTCATGAGCAAATCTATATGCTCCATATGCTGGACCAGCGCTTGTTTCTGCTCCTTGCTAATGCGTTTTGTCTTTAAATCTACGAATTCCATCATAAATATCTGAAAATTAAATAATAAATAAAATATATTAAATATTATATGTATAAATATGTATATAATTATTCATTTTGTTTACTGTTTCACTTGCAATTCATTTATTTTTGGTACAATTTCAAAAATGAAATATGAAAAATAAAATACATTTGTTTACATTTGCTGAACACCAAACGCACTCTTACTATAATACTGCCACAAAATTTTTGTTATATTAATTATTATTTTTTTTAATTTTAACTTTAAATGCAAGTTTATTTCTATTACAATAAGTTAATTAATAAATAAATATGAATATTATACAAAATACGTACAAAATAATTGCTCAATTTGTTTAAACAATAATATTTTCAGTTTTAGCGACAGTAAAAACCTAACCGCCAAAAACAATCAAATTAGGAGAAATTTTAGTCGTTTTTAACGAAATTTTTCGATTGCCAATTTAGCAGAATACGAAATTTGGCGATTTAGCGATTTATCCGAAAAAATCTACTATTTTTGAAAGTTGAGAAAATTAGCGAATAGAAATTAAGCGTAACGAGTTAGCAGAATCGCAAAAGTCGCTAAAATGCATTTAAAGAATTTTAGCGATAGCGATTAGTGGAATCGGCCTGCTGTTTACACTATTTCAAGTTCATTGAAGCTAACTTACTGTTTATGCTGATTCAGCTATGATCAAAGTTGTCAACCTGCACACAGTATTCTTTGTTTTCTTTATGAACAATGTTGCGCTTATGATTCCTCCTATAGGAATCAACTTACATACGACAAATACCACCACACTTATCTCAAGAATGCAAATCTCAGCATAATTGATTTGGTTTGGTTAGCTTTTGCTTGATTCTTTAAGTTCAGTTCGAGTCAAACCAATGAACACCGTGGTTTTAAGTTCAGCCAGCATAACAAGTGGCTCTCAGCTTATTTCATCCAACAATGTTTTAAATTTTTAAAACACTGTATCTTAAAAATGAATTAAGAACAATTAAGTTTTTAATGTAAGTGAGTGCATATTTTTTGGATAATGCAAAATAATTTTAATCAAAATTTTTAAGTAACTCTCAGTTTCTTTTCTTTTTCTTCTTTGGCGCATGCTATCTCAAAACATACACTGTCATCATTCAACATACGAAAGGGGGTATATTCCTCAACTGCGCAAACTGAAGTATACAAAACTATGAATTGTCAGTTTTTCTGTCAATAAGTATGCATTTTTTTCAAATTTTTTTCATCGTGAATTATGTTACAAGTTATTAAAACAAACAAGTAATGTAAGTTTTGTGCAAAATTAATTATTAATTTAAACTATTATATTTTTATATGTTTTAGAAATGGAAAAAGACAAAAAAGCAAGCATAGAGCAAAAGCTTTTACTTATGGACTTTATCGAGAGCAATATAGAATTTTGCAGCGATAGGTTATTATACAGATAACGTTGTATGAAGTATTCTTTCTTTTTTATTTTTTTCACTTATTTCTTTGAATTGTATTTTCATCTTAAATTCTAAATTATTCAAATCGAATAATAATGAAACTATTTTTTTAAATAATTAATTATCCATTAAGTTATTATTAAGTTAGGGAGCAATATACTTATCAACAGTAATCAATGTATTAATTATATAATTAATAACAGTTTTAACTGTCTGTAATTTAAATAAAAATCATTTATAATGTTTAAGTAATAAATTATGTATCAGTAATTCGTTGTACTTCTACCTTGTAACAGGTAAACATTATTTGCAAAACTAGTACTAAAAATCGTATGAGTATCGATATTCTTCTTTGCTATTTTGAATTCTATTTCGTCAGTAGAAGGCAATGACATTTTTTTACATTTCTTAAAATTTGTATTAGTCATCCTTCTTCTTTTCCTTATGTATATATTATTATATTATTAATATAATACAAACAGAATATAAATACGAATTTATTCACTGATAGCTGTCAAAAACACATTCAGCACGTCTTAATTTTACATTCAGCATGAAAACCTTACTAAAACTTGCGGAATAGCATTTTATACGGGATTCACAAGAATTTAAAATTTTTTGTAATACTCCATTCACATGAGAGTTTTGTTTGCAATTTTAGATGTTATGTTTTTAATTTTAGCTGTCAATTCTTGTTGCTTTTAATTCAAAATGAAAATTTTGACAGCTAAAATAACAAACAAGACTATCGTATGAATCCAGTATTACACGAAATTGTAAACTGTGGCAAGAAATAAATTTTTCGTTTTTACTTTTAATTAAAATAGTTATTATGTATCCGTATCCTTTATTTTAAATTAAATTAAGATTACTTACTGCGCATATATTTTAAATTTGTACTAAAAAGTACGTGTTTCACAATTAAAAAGGTAAGATTTATATACATATATTGCTCAAATGTCTAATTATTTTTTATTTTTTAATTTAATTAAAAATAATCATTTTTAATTAGTTAATTTAGAAAATTTATTGGTGTCATTGCGGAGACTAATTAGCATACCTTCAAATATACCTATATATTAAATATTTCTTATTGATATAAAATACATATTAAGATGAAATAATTTAATGATTATAATTGAGTGTATATTAATATAATGTTATTAATGTTTTAATTTACATTCTTATCTAGGTTTCTACATTTGGTAATAATAGACATTGTTCATTTCATGGTGAAAACACCGGTAAATTTTTTTTTTTTTTTTTTTGAAATCCATTTATTTTATTACAATCTGTCAGATATGAATGACAATAAGTAATATATATTGTTATATTACTCAATAATAGTTGTTATATTACTCAATAATAGTTGTTATATTACTCAAAAATAGTTGTGAATAGTTTATTGTTTTTAAAGTAAATTGTTACAATCGTTTGCTAAGTCTTACTTCCTCTATGTATATGCACGCTCGATCATCTCAGTTGTTGTGTTGCCAGATCGGCGTGTTGTTTATTTTTAGTGCTGCCATAACATCCCCTCTTTTTTATAACGTTAGTATGTTTCGTAGTCTTCTAAATGTTTTGGTTTTCTTGCTTGACGTCTTGGTCTATGTTGTTCATCTTGTTGACTTGGCCTCTGTTGTTCATCTTGCTTTCTATTTGATTGCTCTGATCTTGCATATTGTTTTTCTTTGTCTACAGGTTCCTCGATTCGTTCATATCTCATTAGTTCTTCATCTCGTTCTGGATCTGTTGCCGCAGTTATGTTGTGTTCTGTTGATTCGTTTCTTTTCATTACATGTAGACTGTTTCGTTTGTAATGTTTATCTTTACTGCTTACTATAAATGTTCTATTTGTATCTTTTTGCAGTAAGTTGCCTTGAATCCAGTTTTCATTTGGATTCACTTTTATATATACATTATCTCCTTCCTTTAGATTGTTTTCCCTTCTCGTGCCTTTATCATAATATTGCTTTGTATATCTTTTCTGCTGTTGTATACGTTTTGACACATCTCTTATCACTTCTTGTTCTGTATCGTTGTTTGGTATGTGACATCTCAGCCATCTGCAAAACATTTGTTTTGCTGAACTTGATCCAATCTTGTTAGACACGTTTCTCCATATTAATAGTGCTTTATAAAAATCAGTGTTCGATTCTATACCTTTTTTTATCAACTGTTTTGCTATTTTTACTACTGCTTCACTTTTACCATTTGCTTGTTGATGGTATGGGCTCGAAGTACGATGTTCAAATTCCCACTCTTCTGCGAATTTTTTGAATTCTGTATTAACAAAATTTGTACCATTGTCTGTTATAACTACTACTGGTATGCCGTATCTACTGAAGTTTTTTCTACATAGATATATTGTAGTTTTTGCTGATAAATCTTTCAATTCATCAATCTCGAAAAAATCCGAATAATGGTCTACAGTTATCAAAAAATATTTTCTCTGATTGTTAATGTTCATCTCGAATACATCCATCGATATTATTTCAAATGGTGATGTGGGAGTATCTGTTATTATCATTGGCTCTCGTTTTTGCATTTTGGCATTCTGTTTACAAACCTCACAATTTTGTATCATTTGTTTTATCTCGCTTGTTATACCTTTCCAAAAAACTGTTTCACGAGCTAATTTCAGTGTAGATTCTATTCCCAGATGTGGTAAATGTAATTTTTGCAAGATGTCACTTCTTATGTCTTTCGGTATACAGACTCGGTTTCCTTTGAATACTATTTCGTCATTGACTATTAATTCATCTCTAAAATCCCAGTATTGTTTGATTTCTTCCGGTACATAATGTTTTTGTTCTGGCCAACCTTTTTTGATTATGTTGATCAGACTTTTCATGACTCCGTCTTTAGCCGTTGTTTGTTTGATTTTCTGAAATGTCTTTGTGCTTATGCGTTTATTTTCTTTTTCATCCATTTCATCTAAGTATTTCATGTCTTTTTCGATGTTGTAGATTTCGATTTCTTTTTCCAGCTTTTTTGTTTTTGGTGCTCTTGATAGAGTGTCAGCTATATACATTTCAGTTCCTTTTTTGTATTTTATGTTGAAATTATACCGTTGTAATGTTAAAATCATTGCTTGTAAACGTTTTGGAGTTTTTATCAGCGGTTTCTTGAAAATATTAATTACAGGTAGATGGTCTGTCTCAATTGTTACATCTGATCTACCACAAATATATTGATCAAGCCTTTTGCATGCAAATAAAACTGCTAGCATTTCTTTTTCAATTTGTGCGTAATTCTTTTGTGTTTCTGTTAATGTCTTTGATGCATAAATAATTGGATGTTTTTCTTGTAATAATGCACAACCTATTGCATACAATGATGCATCTGTTTGTATTACAATTGGTTTGTTTATGTTGTAATACTGTAAAACTGGTGCTGTTGTTACTAATTGTTTTAAATTGTTAAAAGCTTTTCCCCACATAAATTTTTGTTTCATGTGTGTTATGTTACGTAGCGGTTCTGTTATTGTTGCTAGATTTGGTATAAATTTACTCACATATGTAACAAGACCCAAAAATCTCATAGTCTCAGCTTTATCTTCCGGTCTTGGTATGTTCAAAATTGCGCTCGTTTTATTAGGGTCTGGTTTTACACCCTCACTGGTTAGTATATGTCCATAAAATTTAATATCTTGTTGGCATACCTTAAGTTTGTCTTTGTTGATTTTTAAATTTTGTTGTTTTAAACGTTTTAAGAGTTCTTCTAAGTTTTTGTTGTGATCTTCAACTGCAACTTGTTGATTTTCTCCTTTGCCATAAACCAGAATATCATCAGCTATGCATACCACACCTTTCAAACCTGCTATAATTTGGTTTTGTTTCATTTGGAAAATTTCCATTGCTGGTTTTAACCCAAACGGCAAACGGTTAAATCTATATTTTCCGAATGGAGTCCAAAACGTTGTGAGTTTACTGCTATTTTTTTCTAATTCAAGTTGCCAAAATCCATGTTTCGCATCTAGTACTGTGAAGACTTTTGCATCTGCAAGTTCAGCTAAAACTTCTTCTATTGTTGGTAGTTGATATTTTACATCCTTTAATGCTTGATTTAGATGCTTTGGATCAATGCATATTCGCAGTTTGTTATTTTTCTTGACAATTACTAAATTGCTTGTCCAATCTGTATGTTCGTACTCTTTTACTATTATGTTTTGTTTTTCCATTTCGTCTAGTGTAACTTTTAGTTGTTCTCGTAACGATATCGGAATACGTCTTGGTGCTTCATTTCTCGGTGGCATATTGTTATCTATTTCGAGTAAAATTTTTCCTTCAATTTTACCTAGCCCTTCAAATACATCATTGTATTTGTTAATTATCATCTGTGCCTTTTCGTTTTCAACATTTACTTTTACACTTTTGTAAATTTTTATAAGCTCCATCTCTTGACATGTTTGAGCTGATAGTAATGGACAGTGTTCAGTTTCGACCACATAAAATATTAATTTGTGTTTTCTATTTCTGTTTTTTAGTGTTACTTGAACTGTGCCCGTTGGCATTATACGCGCTCCGTCAAGGGTTTTTAATGTTGTTTTAGTGCTTCTCATAACAGGGTCTGGAAATATTTCTAATAAATCTTTTTTCCCAATTATGTTGCACGTCGCACCAGTATCCAGTTGACATGTTATTTTGCAACTGTTGTTGTTGTTGTATATGATTAAATCTATAAAAATACCTGTTGATGAATCAGCTTCTACTGTATGCAGAACATACTCTTTAGATCGCTCATTACTCTGGCTTCTCTCATTTTTTGTTATCGTTGTTACTTCTTTAACATGTCTTGTTTTGCTTTGTGTCATTTTGTCGTCACTTTGGTTTTTGTTTTTAGACATACAGACTCTGGCATAATGTCCCTTTTTATTGCATTTCCTGCATACTTCCTTTCTTGCTTTGCATTGTTCGATTTTATCGTGATAATTGTATCCACAAAACTTACACAATCTCTTTTGGGTATTACTGTCGTGATGCTTCTTGCGTTTGTCAATTTTATTGACTTCGAATGGTAAAGATTCAATTCCGCGAAGTTGTTTTTCTGTTACTTCTTTTGATCTGCAGATATCGATAGCTTTATTTAGCGTTATGTTTTCGTCTAGCCACAGTCTTTCACGTAAATTTTGATCTTTTATTGAACATATGATTTTATCTAACATTAAATCATTCTCAAGCTGACCATATTGTGCATTTTTAATGAGACCGCGCAATTTGTTAAAGTATTCATCGTATGTTTCGTGTTGTTCTTGTTTTGCCATGTTAAACATCGCTCTGATGTAACGTTTGTTGACTGTTGGTGTTGAATTCCGTTCGATTGCATCCAATAATTCGTTTACTGTTGCTTTTTCTTTTTCTAATATTGGCATGTTGATGTAGCGTTGAAACACATCTTGTCCTACAGCTGTTAATAGAATAGCTTTTTTTGTTTCCTCATTTTGAGCATCAATTCCTGATGCTGTTAAGTAATTTTGCCATTGTTGCTTGAAATTCTTGCAATTCTCGCTTATATCGCCTGATTTTATGTTTAGTGGGCCTGGAAGCAGAATCTGCTGTAATATTTGTATTTGTGGAACGTGCTGTTGATTTTTACGCGTTAGTTCGTTTTTCAGCTGTCTTACTTGTTCTTGTAAGTCTGCAACCTCCGCCATTTTTGTTAAATTTCATTTTAAGCTATTACACCTGACACCATGTTATATTACTCAATAATAGTTGTTATATTACTCAATAATAGTTGTTATATTACTCAAAAATAGTTGTGAATAGTTTATTGTTTTTAAAGTAAATTGTTACAATCGTTTGCTAAGTCTTACTTCCTCTATGTATATGCACGCTCGATCATCTCAGTTGTTGTGTTGCCAGATCGGCGTGTTGTTTATTTTTAGTGCTGCCATAACATATATAATTATCAATCGTAATAATAATTATTACGATCTAAAAAAGAAAGACATATATGGACTATGCCCAGTGACATATCCATATATATTTAAAATAACAATGTGTGATCTACAAGGTGAGATGAAAAAACTGCAACCAACTTCAGACTGCTGTCATTTCTAAACCGCTCGTCTAAACAGCTGTCAGATTTATTCTAGTGACAGCTCATTATATTGTTTACAAGCGCACAAAAGCATTTTGGTGGGAATTTTTCAGAAAAAAAGTTATTTGTGATGGAATTCAAGTGTGATAGTGTGATTGCTTTGCATTTGGCTGGAAAACCACAAGTGGCTATCGTTAGAGCCCTCCAGCATTTAAAAGTGAATAAATGTTTTGTGTCTCGTACCATCACTCGTTACCATGATACTGGTAGCGTAGCCCGACGTCAAGGAAGTGGACGAAAAAAAACAGCAACATCGGCAGAAATGGTTCGAAAAGTGAAGAAGCTAATTGAACGAAATCCGCGTCGCAGTGGACGAAAAATGGCTCGTGAGCTGAACATATCGCAATATGCCATTCGGCAAATATTGAAAAATGAGCTTGGACTAAAGCCATTCAAGTTCCAAAAAGTGCAAGATCTTACTGATGCGCAAAAAAAAGTTAGACTCGAAAAAGCTAAAGAGTTGCTTCGCTTGGCCGAAAGTGGTAAACTGCCGAATTTGGTTTTCTCCGATGAGAAACCATTCGTTATCCAGCAGTTTGTAAACAAACAAAATGATCGTGTTTACATGCCAGAGAGGTCGGCTGAAAATTTGCAACTTCGGTTGGCCACCACAACTCAAAAGCCGGCCATGGTGATGGTGTGGGCCGCCATAACAGCCGATGGTCGCTCGCCGCTCGTATTCATCGACCGTGGGGTCAAAATAAATGCGCAAATCTATCGCGAAAATATTTTGGAGGGAGTTCTGAAGCCCTGGGCACGCAAACATTTCGGCCGCAGACCTTGGACATTCCAACAGGACTCAGCACCATCGCACTCAGCACGCGCCACCCAAGAATGGTTAAGAAATGAGGTTCCTCGCTTCATTTCCACCGCACAATGGCCACCAAAATCTCCGGATGCCAATCCGTTGGACTATTGTGCCTGGGGTATTTTGGAAAGCAAGGTTGGCACTAAAAAATACCAAAGTGTCGATCATCTCAAGCAAGCGCTTCGCCGAGAATGGGACAAAATACCGCAGAGCCACTTTCGCGCAGCGTGTGATGGTTTCATTGGCCGTTTGAAGGCCATAGTTCGTGCCAAAGGTGGCCAATTCGAACAAATCTAAACCGATTCTCAAATTTGATGTTATTTCCGACATTTTTTGCTTTCATTCAATAAAATTTAAAAAAAATGAAAAAATATGGCGTTTTACTTTGTTGCAGTTTTTTCATCTCACCTTGTATAAATACATATCTAAAATATCTCTCGATGTTTTCCTTCTCAGCCTTGTAAAAGTGTTGGAAGGGGACATCAGGTGTGTAACCAGCGGGTTTGGGTGTATATATATGCGATGAGCGTAATTTTTTAAAATACTGGCTATTTCTTCCTTGATTGTCCGAACATGTAATTGTTTATGCAACTGTTCAATAGTTATATACAAAGGTGCCTTTGTGATCATTCACAATGTTTTAGATTGAAAACGCTGGATAATTGCCAGGTTTGAGTCTCCTGCAGTACTCCATAATTGGGCCCCAGACTCCATATAGGTTTTAGTACAGATTTGTATATAAGCAGCTTATTGTCTAGTGACAGTTTGGAGTTTCGGCTGAGGAACCAGAATAAATTTCGTAATTTAAGACCCAGTGCCTTACGCTTTTTGAATATGTGTGATTTCCAGTTTAGCTTACTATCCAGATGGAAGCCCAAGTATTTTGTTTCTACAGCGTGTGGTAATTCAGTATTGTTTATTAAAACAGGCGGGCACGTAGAACGTTTTGTAGTAAATGTTACCTGGATAGATTTTGATTCATTCGGTTTGATACGCCAGTTTTTCATCCAGAGAGCAACATTGTTAAGGCAGGTTTGAAGTTTGGTGGAAGCACGGATTGGGCCACTGTCAACTGATAAAAAAGCTGTGTCGTCTGCAAATGTACCGATAACACTCTCATCGGTAAGGGGAAGATCCGCAGTATATAAAAGATAAAGCACTGGTCCCATTATGCTACCTTGAGGTACTCCTGCTCCTATATCATGAAGTACTGTAGTTTCGTTTCCATGCTTAATGAAAAAATGCCTTGCCGAGAGGTGTGACTTTATAAATATGAAAAAATTTAGGGGTAGATTTAGTTTTAGTTTGAAAAGAAGGCTTTCATGCCATACTCGATCAAAAACTTGTGAAATATCTATAAATGCCTCAGTACAATATTTTTTACCATCTATCGCACTATGGATATGTCTGACAAGTCTATGAATTTGTTCTATTGTGCTATGTTTTTGGCGAAAGCCGAATTGATGGTCAGGGATAAGTCTGTTTTGTTGGATAATCGGTGTAAGGCGCTTTAGAAACAGAATTTCCACAACTTTCGACAGAATTGGAAGTAGACTTATTGGGCGATATGATTTGACGTCTTCTGGGCTTTTCCCTGGTTTCGGTATCATGGAGCTTTGCGCTGTCTTCCATTGTGGCGAAATAAATCCCCTTATTATCACAGCGTTAAATAGATGTGTCAGAAATACAAATCCTTTTGGTGGAATCTGCTGTAAGGCCATACCTGTGATTAAATCGTATCCTGGAGCGGTTTTACCTGCCGGTAAAATGACTTTATAGGTGTAACCCCAAAAAATTTTTGACATAATATGTAATAAAATAAGTTTTGTTAAATTGTTTTAAGTTTTTTTTTTCAATAGACACATTTTAAATATGAGCGCAGCGTTTTGATGATTTCAGTTTGTAATGAACCTGTTCTGTGGTTCGTTTAAAGCTGTGGTTTACACTGCCGTCGCCAAGGTCCACGCAAGAAAATTTGTTTAATATAACCCTGCAACTTCCGACAACCGAACTGATCAGAACTGAAGCATAGTATATCCGACACGATATAACACGTGACTGTTAAAGCTACGTGCGTTGTATTGCAGGTCGAAGTCAACACGCCCTTTTGAAGCCGCATACAGCTTCCGACACTTAGTATAGACACACGTTACTATTGAAGCTACGTGTGCTATACTCCGTGCGTCCTAGATTCGGTCACTGTTTAAGCCCTGAATCTTCTGACCTTATCACTCGACACTCAATTTAGTTGTCTACCTCGCTATTCCTTGACACAGTGTCCAAATTCCAATGTTCACAAATTTATTTATTTATTTGAAATTCAAAGTCACCTTCGTATGGTCATATATTTATTTACAATATTTAAAAAGTAGAAATTTAGATTATTTACAATTAGAAATTTCGTAGAAATTTCACTTTCGGATGTTCATATATTTATTTACAATGTTTAAAACATTTGAATTTTAAATTATTTACAATGTAGTGTTAAAACTTTAATTATAAATTATGCAATTATAAAAAAAAATCAGTTTTACCAAAATCACTTCCGTATGTTCATATATTTATCCACAATATTTAAAAAATCAACATTACTTATCAAAATATCACGCATCCAAAATAGAATCAAGAGTTTACTACGCTTCACTGAACAAGAGTTCATCTAATATACTTCGCTGTTGGGGAAACAAGAGCTTCTTCCTGGTACACGCACGCACCGGTGCCCTCCGGTGTAAATGCGTTAAAGTTCATTGACTGTTGACAAAGCTCCGTGGAAGCATGTGGAAGCTGGAGCTTTGATCCAAAAAAAGAACTAATTTCTCGTTTTTCCGAGTCGTCAGAAAAGCAGCTCATAAAGCTGCTCACTGGTGTAACTTTCGAACAAAAAACCAAGCCAACTGGTACGTGAAATGCGCACGTTAGCAGGCGCAAATGTCTCAGAGGAGGCATTAACAACACTGTGGCTGCAACGGATGCCAAACAATGCAAGATGCATTCTATCAGCATGCAAAACCACAAGTAACATATGGATGAGTTAGCAGAAGTAGCTGATAGAATATTAGACAACAGTCCAGTACCGTCTTACGTAATGACTACAAACGCCAACAAATTGAATGACGCATTGGAATCCCGCGTAACAACATTAGAAAGTTCGATCCAACAACTAAGACAGCAGCTAGTCAAGATATCAGCAACTTTAGACAGATTGGAAAAACGAGACAGTCGTGGTAGAGACAACAGCCGCAGCCGCAGCAGTTCGTGCAAACGTGAGAAGGTCTGTTACTACCACATAAAATTTGGGGCAGCAGCGACCAAATGTAGCCAACCGTGCGAATTTGGCAAATGTAAGAGCAATAATCAACAGGAAATCTAGCGAGGCTGTCGTCTTCAAACACGGTTGGCGACAGCATAAAAAATCAAGAGCTACGATTATATATTTATGACCGAAAAACCGACATTAACTTTTTAATTGATTCTGGGTCAGCTATTTCACTACTTCCACTACCAGGAATCAATCCAAAAAATAAAATGCAACCAGACGATCTAGTTCTATATTCAGCGAACAACACTGCAATTAAAACATTTGGCAACAAGCAAAAGACAAAAGACTTCAACTAGCATTTCATCATCGCTGATGTTAAAACAGCCATAATTGGGGCAGACTTTCTCACGCACTACGGCTTACAAATCGATCTGAGGGCAAAATCGCTCGTTAATACGCAAACCACGTTACAGTCAAAGGGTCT